CATGCCATATCGAGCCGATTCAAGGTTGACTGAAAGGGTGTTACTTGGAGGCGAGAGGATTCGAGGACTGAGCGAGAGTGTTGAAGACGTTGCACGGTGGTATCTTCAATTGAAGAGCAACGAAGCGTAATAGTCTATCACAACACTCTAAAAAGCCCCAAGTAATGCAGCTCACCACTTGAAACTCTCCTCAAAGTGCTCAATGCCATGATAGCCTTTGCTTAGCATCTCGACACTCGACTTTCTCGCTTGATCGGCCATCAGGGCCGGCCCACACGCCACGACTGCGAGACTGCCTTGCCCTGCGTCCTTCGCCGAGGCTTCCACCACAGTATATACATTAGGACGATGCGTCAAGATCCTCACACCTCTCAGATCTCTCCCAAGTACATTATCCTTTGCTTCGTCGTCACGAGTGATATGGACTTCCATCTCGACTCTCTCGTCTCCCAGTAGACCCTTGAAGTCGCATAGGACAGATGCAAGAAACGCATGCTCACGAACGGCCCACACTATTTTAATACTTCGAGTATAAGATCTTGAAGAAAGTAAGTGAGCGAGGTGGGACAAAGGTACGGCGATACCCGTCCCACCCACTACGAAGAGAATATTGGCAAAGGTTTGAAGGGGCATGGTATGCCCATACGGACCGTCGACGAGTACACGCAGCTTCTTGGGATTCAAGAGGCAGAGTGATTTAAGACGGGAGGTGAAACCATCGTACGGCCTAATCAAGAAAATTAGACTCGATGCGGGGTTTGCCTCTGATCCTGCAAGCAGAGCGTCGGACTCGCTAGATTCGTTCGATGAACTCGAGGAAGTACGATGTGAGGCAGATCTCGATGAAATCGGCGATAGCGGGGTATCGAGTGAAGTGGAGATATCGGAGGAAGTGTATGCGAGCGTGAATGGATGACTTTGATGCGCATAAAGCCAATCATCCATGAGGTGTATGTAGTAGTATGTTCCAGGACTTGACGCGATCAAAGATTTGTTGGCCTCCACCTCCATCTTGACCAAGTTGCTGTTCGGATTAAAGCTTACTAAAGCTCCAGTGTTGAATGGATTACGATGGAAGGCAAGTATCCGGCCAAATCGAAGGCTGCGATCAAGGACCCAGATAGCAACACATGGCCAGATGAATATATTCCATTCGCCGGCCGTAAAGATCTCGACGTGGTAGTACATTGACCATAGAGTGGCAATGGAAAGGATGATGTGTATAATGAGGAACACTTCGTAATGTGCTCGACGGATGCCGTAAAAAGATAATGCAAGAAGCGCACACATTGCCATGGTAGCCTGAATACCTGTCAGCGCTACATGCTGAAAGTACGTAGCAACTGTATCACTTACCAACTCGCCATTCCAAAAGTAGTGCTTCGTCCAGTACTTGAGGAAATCTGACCAACCTCCGCCTGATGCAGGTTAGCGAAGAGCCCACAAGCAGCGCTAGATGCCGCCCGAGACTACTCACTCTCCAGGATCATTAGTGTATAACCGACACTATGTATCACGGCCTGTAATGTAGCAACTCTTGCCACCCATCTATGAAAAGAATTGTACGTGCCGAAGCCCCAGCCTGTCAACCACATCAATACATCATTGCGCATTCCGAACAGCCACACCAGAGGGAAGTTCGCCAGCGAGATAATACCAGTGCGGTCTGATACAAAGCGTAGTAGTTGCGCAGATTTTTCGGGCCAGTAAAGATTGCCCTCTGTAAGGCGATAAGAACAACTGCACAAAATAATGTTGAAAACAACAAACGCGAATATTGTCAGTGATTGAAGGCGTGGAGGGATAGTACACCAGCCAAGTGGGCGTGAACAGCGATCGCCAAAAGCTGCTGGAGTGGTAATGTATCGCTTCAGCCATACCTTTGGTAACCTGAGAAAGCTGCTTGCTTTTCTATAGGTCCTTTGGGCTTCTGACAGGTGAAGTTGGTGGTTTTGCTTCCGTCGAATGTTGCCGATGAGCGAAAGGAGACGATTACTAATACCCAGCGAGACGACGATCATCCAGAAGTAGTACATATACCATCCATAAACGAGATGTAACTCGTATGCCTGGAAAGCGGCCTCCTACAAGCAATAGTCAGCTTGGCTTTGGGATGGGTGGCATGACATCTCGCGCACAATAGTGGTAAATGCTCTCTCGAACAAGCTCAGGTCTGGTATGACTACCACTTCCAGTACCGGCCACTTGAAAGCGTATTCGGCGCTGAGTCTTGCGACAACATGCGTGCGATCCGATTTCCAACGATCTACAAGCTCGTGGTACTCGGGCAAGGTCACACCCGCGTGCTCGTCACACCAACGACTTTGCTCTTCGATGTACTCCAGCTTGAAACCATCATCCTTGCAGTACTCATCGAAGCATAAATACAACGATGTGATCCGAAGGTCACTTCGACATGACCGAACTTTCCTTGACAGCCATGAATCGGTGTCGTTGAACGTCGCGTAGTTCAAAGTGGTGTCACATGCGACAGGACAATATTTGCCGGAGCGCAAAGCGGCTGCTACATTTGCGAAGACGCAAGTAGCCAAAGATATTGATTGAAGGCGCATGGATGCATACATGCAAGGAGTGAGTACAATAAGTGGTGGAGCGATGTCCGGAGATTGGCGGGGGAAGAAAATCTAATCAGATCGATCAGAGCTTTGACCATCCGCCGTCAGCTCCCAGCTAGGTCTCCTGGCCACCAGTACCAGTATATCGAATAACCCAGATCACGAGTGCTGTCTCACACCTATCATGCCTATAGTTGCAGCTGGAGGCCCACTTCTTTCCCTTCCCGCGGAGCTCAGATTGCACATTGCAGCATATGTCCTGGAGCAACCACGGAATGCTGGACTGACACAAAGACGGACGGGGAGCGACATTGTCTGGCGACCTGGAAGCTTCGTTCCAGATGCGACTTACAGCTCAGCCTCCAATCTTCATCTGCTGCTCGTCTGTCGCTTGTTCTACAACGATTTCGTTCGGCTCGCATACGAGAAGACGACTTTCATGCTTCGACATAGCGCTGACAAGCACATTGATCAACTACCAACTACAAGGCTGCAAAGCATTCGCAAAGTGATTGTTCCATTCGAGCAGCTTGATGTTCTGAAATGGCAAGAACCCAACAAATTCTTTATTCAAAGCTATATCAGACTAGAGAGCTTGAGTATTACAAACTTCGAGCGATGGGACGCTCAGTCTCACACCAAGATCATGGTGGACTTTTTGCGGCACGTGGAGAACATCGAGTCCATTCGCATCATACTCCAAGGTAATCCACCGCATAAGCAACGAAACCAGTGCTGGGCCCTTGTTGGTGCGGTCTTGAAAGACGATCATTACCAGAGATACGATGCACCTGATGCGCCAAACCTTGAGAATACGTGGTGGAACTGGAGTTATGATCGCCAGGCCCATACTTTCAGTCTCACGGCGCAGGAAGCAAGACCTTTCATGGAGGAAGAGGCCTACATGGTGTACGCGGCGCCATTGATTCACGGCCTGATGGACGAGTTACAAGTCCTAGATCATGCTTCTTCGAGCCTTCAGTACGAGCTGTAGTAGGTACTCAAGATGTCACCTCACTTGTTGGCTCCAATCGATAGTATAGGCCATCTATCGTGTTTCTCCTCGCCACAATCTACCAATATGCTTTGTATTGGAGCATCATATCCTACCAAACCATCTTTCTCATGCGTACTTACTGTGGGATGAAAAAAAGCCCAACAACCTTTCCACGCACACATCGTCCATCCTACCTTGATTGTAAACATGGCGAGTTCAGGGCCCTAGTGCACCCGCTTCACACAGATCCAACGTTGCTGAAATGGTTCGTCGACAACGTCGACAGCGATATGTCTCAGCTGGTCACATGCATCGCAGCGAGACCATCATGCAGCAACTGTCTCAGGAAGTGATGTCTCCGCAATACCCATCGACCATCCTGCACAACATAACTAGTATCACAGCTCGATCAAATCACATCCAGACACATTTGATCACAACGTACCAACCATCATTACATGCAATATAATTCAACCCCATTCCACCACCCATCACCACATCCAACATCGACTCACGCACCATGGTCCACGCCGTCATCCCCGGCACCAAAATTCGGGAAACAGGGTAATCAGCAACGCACGCATACTTGCACCACCACTCCTACTCATCCTCCTAGTCATCATTATAATCGCAATTACCACACTACTTTTCAATGACACTCCCGTGTACGTTTTACAAAAGGAATCATTCGAAACCGACCCGAGTGAAACTCATGATTTACATTTACGTGCCAATCCTGCATATGAAGTATACAAACGCCAATGCAAGCACACTAATCGTCAGTCTAAAGAAGCTGATTTGACGAATCTTGTTGGGTTTGTGGAGAGGCGTGTTGGAAGTCAGGCATAGTGTACGATGAGTGTTAGTGTCCAGCTTGGGGTGTTGGATAGAGGGGCGGGGATTGGAGAAGGGACTGGGGAGGAGAATGCAGGGAGTAATCGCGTTGTTGGGTTTCTTGAAATTGAAGGGGAGTTAAGAGGGATCTGTGGATGGGAGGGATGTGGATGATGAGGAGGAGGATGCGGTGAGTTCTTAAGGAGGGGGTTGGATGGGGGTTCGCTGTTACGTTATTGTTTGACTGGGAAATATATATATTTGGATAGACCGTATTGTGCCATCAAATTTCCACGGCTATATTGTACACCCACATGGAAAAGTAAATTCCAGCAACGCATCTGAGATACACACCCACGGTATTAGTCGTCAAGTCAGATCCCAACCTGACTGCATAACCCCATATATCTTCTGACCGCCGCTTGTTTGCTCTGCGTGCACGAACCCGCCTCTGTCCTACAAAGCCATCCTGCTCGTTTGCTGCCCACGCCTCTACGATCTCTCTCATTTCCCATGCGCGCGCAACTAATTCCATTCTCTTCTTGGTCTGTATCTACCATGGCCTTCACCATTCTCACATTGAAAGGCTATAAACCGCTATGGTCTAGGGGTATGACGTTCGTCTCACAGCTTGCTGTACGCACGAAAGGTCTCGAGTTCGAACCTCGATGGTGGTATCTTTTTTGCTTCGTGGGTGGTTCTGTGGTGATGGGATGGGATTTGCGGCAGTGGTGTCTAGATCGAGGATGTCTCTGCGCTGTGTGCTGTTGTGCGGTTACTGTTCAGCAGATTTCTGCAAGAGTGGTTAGATGGGCCCAAGCAAAGGCACGGCCTCATCTTAAGTTGGGCCTTGTCAATAACCACATCAAACCTATGCGACTGAATCTAGGAAAGCTCATCGTGATGCCCTGTAAGTTTTCGATTCCTAGTCTGGTCGAGACCACGAGCAAGCCATGGCTCCATCCTGTTTTTCTCCAGCCGCCGACGCTGGATCTGAGGTTGACGTCGTAGTGGAGCACACGAAGCCATTTTCCTCTTCAACAAGTTCGCGATATCGAAAGCTCGACGGGATGACGTTCTAATACACAAGCTCAGTGCAAGTGGATCCCCAATGACGAAGTTGATCAAGTTGGAGGCGTCCCATGGTGAAGACGATCGAAACGAAGCACGTGCCGCTGCAGCTGTCGGTTTGACGTCAGCGGGCCCACGGTCGAACGACACGACGAGATCTCCGCGCTCACCCCACGATCGCGAGACATTTCATCTAGCCCCAACCGAGTCCCATCTAACCCGTCGCAGCAACGCTCCACCCGCACTGCACGCGACTCGCCCGTCCACCTGTCGGAGCCTCCCGTGCGCTGCAGCCGAACGACTCTGCCAGGCGATAGTGCGCCTCGCCGCCTCCTGTAGCCGCACCACGCCCGCGGCCGAGAGCCCACGAACCGGTACGTCAGCGGCCGTTTCGCATGCAGCGAGCAACGGCTTGGGCGCGCTTGGGGGCGCGAGAATGTCCCGGATTGGCCGGCTCCGGTCCTTGGGCCTGCGGTGTCGAGTGCGGTGATTCGTGGCCTGACATGGATGGGGCGTCGAGCGGTGCGCGGGTGGAGAGACCGCGCGACATCACATGTGTTTCCCCGCACGAGGCTGTGTAGGTGGGCGTATATACCTGCAGGTGTTCCCCTGGCTGCAATCTTACTTGAACTATCACCCAAGCACCTCACCAACTCACACACTCATACATTCACACATTCACACTTCAACATCCACATCCACCCTCCATCATCAAACAAGTCCATCTTGACATTCACCAATCACATCACCAAAATGTCCTTCCTCCTCCGCAACGCCCCCTTGATCCGCCAACGCCTCTTCACCTCCTCAGCCCGTAAACAAAACATCCTTTCCCTCGAAGACGCCGCTGCAGCCCAATTCAACCATGCTGCCGCCTCCGCAGTCCCAAAACTAGGCCGTGTAGCAAAATGGTATCTCCCCACCATGGCCGCCATCGCCCTGGGCATGATCTATTTGCCCAAGAACTTCGTCTCGCCTGCTCCCCCTGCCGTCCGCAGGACCGTCACCCTACCAGCAGCCACTGCCAACATCGGCTTTGGCGTGACTAGTGCTCTCAACGAGGCGAACCGCAAGGTGCACGCCCCAGCCGAGTTGACGCAGGATCAGAAGAACATGGCTCTCATGGACGCGTACGGCGAGCGCAGCAGTCTCGAGGACATGGAGCGTGCACTTGCTGGTCTCGAAGCCAGACTCGAGAGCGAAAAGGACCGCAATGGCAGGCTCGAGGAGGCGTATGGTGCGCGCGAAAGCATCAAGGATTTGGAGCGCGCAATGCAGATTTACGAGGTTCAGTGATTGAACCATCTACGAATGAGGAGTTTGTGTTTGTTGAAAAACACATAAAGTACAGAATTACCAGCTTCGTTGCTGCAAGGGAAGACGAGACAGGGCTTCCGGGCAAGGAGGAAGCAGTAGGGAGAAGAGCCCAGCTTCGGCTGAGAGCCACTCGTTACGCTGGCGGACTCGAGCGAGAAACGCCGAGCCGCGACGCGAGGACAGAGGATCATATATTCGAATCGCATCAGGAATGCAGATTTGATCGGGGTTTCATACGTATGCCATAACAGGAGGCAAATCTGGGAAGCCCAACAAGGAAGAGTTGCACAACAAAGACCAACCCGAAATCTCCATTATAGTCAGTAACGACATTTACGAATAACGACATCATAGCATGAGCATTATACATTACACATATGTATACATCACAAAGTTAAACCCAAAAAAAAAATCCAAACAAAAATGAAAAATTCAAAAGAAAACCACTGCAAATCAATTCACTCCTCCCCTTGTGTCACAGCCTCACTATGATTAATACACACACACACACAATTCCCTTTTCTTTCTCCCTCTGAATCATAACATCATCACCCAAGGACACTCTAACACAGCATACATACATAGCACACACACCGCGTCGGCTCAACCCTCCCTACACAACACCTGAAACACGGGGGTAGGGGTGGGTGGGGGGAGGGGGGGTAAAATGAACGGTAAACAATTAAGTTTTTTGAAAAAATTGTCCGAGAGCATCCGCCGGCCGCGCTTTTCACACAGCGCCCCTACCTACCCCACGACCTAGCTACATACACAGCCTTTAGGCACTTGAAGTCCACGGAGCAGCGGGGTTTGGGGGGTGGGATGTGGGATGTGGGTTATGTACTCCGCGTGCTGAATCAAGGGGACACGTGTTGTGGGCTTTCAGAAGGGAAGGTAGGGCGGGTTGCCAGTGGTTGTTGGTTGATTAGTTGTGTTGTGTACAGTTGGGAGATAACTTGTTGCTCACGGTGCTGCCACCCACTACTGGGTACTGATTAATCTTGACGTGATGAGGGATCGAAACTGGAGAGGAGAGATAAAATAACACACTACCTGATAGTTTAATACTGTGCGTTGGTGTTTTTTGTTTTTGCATCGATGGAAGTAGAGGTCTGTACCATTGTGATTGCATTGCCGAGGTAGGTACTTAGTTAATGCGCGCCATTGTGTATTTTTTCTATCTTTCATTCAAGTTCCCTCATATTTAGTTTTGCTGTAACTGGGTGGGAAGAATGTTATTCCGTGTGTATGTGCTTGGTTGTGTTGGGCTTTCCATATCGTACGTATGTAAACGAAGTGTGGTGGAGAATGGGAGAAGATGTGTTGTTGTCATGGTCGTTGTTTTGTTGTATATAGTTCTTCATTTTGAATTGATGGATCAATCTGAGTTTGAGGTGTGATGGGATACGGCGTTCTAGCATGCTCTGGGAATGCTGTTTGTGAAAAGTAATTGGCAAAACGTAGGGAAAATTCTGCGGTGTATGTTAGATGCTATTCTCCTCTTGAGATGATGATGCGGCAATTGCTTGAGCAAAATGTTTGTCACGATCTCCGTATCGTAGAAAACATGCATTTGTTCTACATCTTTGTCTTTTGCTGAGCCAATCGCGATACAACACGGCACCACACGACACACTACAACAAATTCTATCCCATCTTCCTCACTCAAACCTACCCCTTCGCCGCAACAGCAAAACTTGCAAAACTCCCCGCCGCCAAGCCCGCCACAAGACACAATGACATGAAACCCCCTCCAGCCTCCAATTCACTTTGATCAAGATACTCGCTAAATCCCATCATGCAACTACTGCCGAGATACCCGCTCGTTACTCCAAAGCCACCTTGCACGAGTAATAAATAAAAGATATCCGATTTGACGGCAGCGCCGTTACCGCCAATATTACAAAGCATGTAGAGCGGTATAAACCCCACACGCGCCACGGAAAGCAGGAAGATCAGACGCGGACGGTGCGTTAGGCGGAGTATAGGTACGGCGGGAAGTGTACGGCCAACGAGGTCGCCAAGGTTCCAGAAGAAGAAGGCTAGGGGGATGAAGGCGGTGGGTTGGAGGATGCGTGGTGTGTCTGGGGAGATGGGGTGGGTTGAAAGAATTTGGACGGTGAAGACGGGGAAGAACATTGTTAGGGCAAAGGTTGTGAAGACACCGAGGGCGAGGTAGCGGAGTTTGGAGAAGAGGTAGGTTAAGGGGATGTTTTTGCGTTCTGGGGTAGGGGCCGGGGTGTCCAGGGTCTCGTAGTCGGAAGTTGAGGTGCGCTTTATGCGGGCTTGTGAGCTGGAGCGCGAGAGGAGATAGAAGAAGGCGACGAGGGTGGCAGCGGACACGGCTGTTGCGGTCAAGAAGTATATGAAAGCTGAGGTGCTGGACTCTTGGGGGAGGTTAGCATCCTGATTCTGTTTTGCAGGAACGGAGAGCACGGTGACGATTTGCGTTATGGCTGGTAATACGCCCGCGATGCCCTGCCCGGTCATGATGCCTTGTGTGTATTCTTCCCGCCCGAATCCAGAGACGTATGCGAACACACCGTTTTGGCATAGACCAGTCGCCAGGCTGGCGGCCAAGACGAGTATCATGAGAAAGGCAAAATATACACCTGCTGATACACCCAAGAAGACCTTGGTGGATATGGCGAGGAGCGTGAAGACGGACGAATACAGCGCCAGGGCAACAGCGATACGCTTCGGATAATTTGCACGTGCTTGGAGCTTGGTCAAGACAATCATGGATCCCAAGTTGCCCACTGTCGATACAGAGAGGATCGCGGACTGAAAGTTGCGTAGGATGTTATCATTTGACGCGAAGCGGTGCTGGAAATACGGAGCCGCTGCTAGGAACATGTTCCTGTTACACTACATTAGTGCTGGTCCATTATGTTCCTGAGAAGGGAAAGATGTACCATGCCCACAGCATCGCAATACCCAACAGCACGAACACGGAGTACTCGGTCCATGAGAAGGGCTGTGCCTCTGCGTTGATGTGTTCGCCATCTGGCCGCTCTGAGCCGCCTTCCAACGGTTCATACGACGCTGCCTCGTCCTGGCGCTCGAATAGTCGCCGTAAATGCTCCATCGTGGCTCCGGCTCCGTGGATGTGATAAGATGAAATCGATGGGCTCTCGGGGGTGCTGCGGAGTTGCGGAGGTGAAGCTGCGCGTCAGATAAGGCACACACGTCTTCAAGGACGATGCGGGAAGGTGTAGTGAATGTTCAGACACGGATCCATGTCTTGGGTTACTACGAGGCTAAGTGGAGGGCATCATCTGGAGTTGCA